TTCACACAATAAAACTTAAGAGTTGATCACAGGCACAGAGTGTTGTGTGCTAGAAGACATTACATAGCTTCTGTGGTCACCACTGGGTTACTGTGCAGCAGGCCACCGTAATCTGAGAACACAGCAGGGGCAATGATGAAATCTGCCTGCAAAGCCAAGGATACTTTTTGAAGAGGTGGCATTTAAATTCGGCTCAAAGAATGCATGGGAGAAATGGTGGGGAGAAGGAGCAGAAAAAATATTATTGCAAAGGATGGAGCAGGAACCCAGGCATTGAATCTCATGGAAAAACCTGAGATTATCATAAAGGGAAGAATTCAGCTTAGCTTCCTGTGATATCAAAACACAGGATTGGGAAGATTGGTGCAAACAACAAGAAGGCATTTATGTTCCAAGATATGGAGTTTTGCTTTTACCTTAGTCACTAGAAGATACTTTAACAAGCAGCATGATATCTAGTGATAAATAAATGGCAGGGAAACAAGTGAGAAGGAAAGTAACCTGGTTAGTTACTAGGAAGGGTGAAAGCTTGTATGGTTGGATTCAATAACCATTTGTTTAATAGCACTTATTTGGAGTCAAAAGTTTTATGGGTAATCAAAAACATTATTTATTTTATGAGTCTGTCCATCTAAATTATGTAAGGAATTATTTAGAGTACTGTTCTAAGAAAAGTTTTGTTTCTTCCTAAAAGCTGGCTCAGAATCAAATTTCGAGCACAATCATGGATACAATTTTGAGACATATTTATATCTTTTTCTGTATGCTACAATTTTATTCCACTCTACCATGCTATATAACTTTATTTCAAGTTGCCTTTTTAGTAAGATGAGGAGGGGCATATGAATAAGTATAAATATAGATATGAATATAACAATATATGCATGTATGTGCACACATATATGTATGTACACATTGGCATTTGTGAGCTGGGTCTTTTCCTAGCATACACAATGTATTTTAAGTAACTGACTAAGACATAGTACTGGAAAAAAAAACTAGGACTTTTCCTATTTTCTGTGGCACATTCTTTCTGGATGTGGAGCCCTCATAGTGAAAGCTTTCATTTACTTGAACTTCTTGGGCACCCGGTCAGAAGGGAGTCCTAACAATAGATTCTTATAGTCCTCAGCTATCTGGCCTTTTAAACAAAGAGATACAACTATGTTATATCAGTGATCAGGTAGCATACATGGTAGGGTACACAAAGTATAGGTTTTGGAGTCAGCTCTGCTTCATTTCAAGATCTGGAAGGAGCTTGTGTTGATAAACTGAAAGGCCCTGGCACGTTCCTTATTCTTTTCAAACTTTAACACCTTTATATTTTATGAAAAAATAAAACAAAATTTCATAGCTAAACAATAAGAGGCTAACAATAGCTACACTGTGTATTGTTGTCTTAAAAGTAATTAGTACAAGACAATTCATAGGTAAATGGATGCAATTTGAGAACATAATGTTTGTTTGTTTTGGTACCGTGGATTGAACTCCAGTCCTTGTGCTTGCAAGGCAGGCACTGGAACCACTGAGCTAAATCCTTGGCCCTAGAACATAATGTTAAGTGAAATAAATCAGACACACAAGCTCAAGTATTGCATTTTTTTCTTTTATATGAAAAACATTACAAATAAAGAACAAATTAGAAGACAGATAAACAGCAAGTAGGGAGAAGTTCAAAAATTTCCCCAAATTACATATTCCATTGTTGTTTTAAACATATTTCAACATATATGCTAATTTGCTTCATTTATACTAGTAGCTTATCTTAATTCATTGAAAACAAAGTTGTGTTAATGCCTTTATTTTGAAACTTGGGGTGAGAATACTTACTTTGCACCAGTTGTTTAAAGAGCCCAGGTCTGTAAAGAACTTAAATATTATCAATATTTTCAGAATGATGCTAATTTTAAAGAAAGGTGTGACTTTAAATCAATTAAAAATATGTCAGAAATATCTGCATATGTATCCTAGAAATCTTGGTCATCTATACCAGATAACAGAATGATTAATTAATTTCCACTAGTGTGGAATGAAATGGTGTGGTCTTACTTAAAAAGTCACAAATTCTTGTGTGACATTCTTAACTAAATCCCAGAAAAGGTTATTTCCTAAGCACATGCTTATGGGAATATGCTATATTGTGGACATCAGAGTTGCTTAATAATAACTGGATGTCTTCAATGAAGAAGGGAAGGAGCGAGACCTCTGGAATATACAAATGCATTGAAAAGCAGGGCAGATTGAGAATGACCCTGCCACATACTCCAAATCTCAGGATGGGAGGTGTTATGACTTGTGTCTAGGTGTCTTCCCCACCTCCCAGCCTCATGTGGTCAGAGGAGTCTTTCTCAGAGGTGGCTGAATCTAGACTGTGTGATGCTGGGATGGAGGTTGTGTGATTACTAAATCAATACACTGATTGGTCCGGCACTGGCCTAATCCCTGTAGTCTGGATGAGAAAGGAGCAGAAAGACTAAGGTTCCCTTGTTGCTTTTGCTACTGTCTGCCTATCTGCTATGCCACCCTGCCGTGGATCCAGCGTATTATGGACTGAAATCCCTACAGACTGTGAGCTAAATAATCCTTTCTTCCATTAACTTCTTTGGCAGTTGGGTGTTTTGTCTCAGCAATGCTAAAACTAACTAAGACAGGAGGGATCTATAATTTTCCCCTGAAAATTTCCAGTTAAGCTCAGACTCATATTGTGTGGCTGCTGCAGCATTAAAATTTAGACAGAGGGATTGCTTGACTTTCTTGTCTCCAGGCCAGGATCTTGCACTTAGGTATAGCAATGACAGAGGTAGGTGGAAGGCAGAGATGTGGAATCGAGCAGGGAATGGGAGGCTTTTGCTATTTTTACTACTCAGCATGGAGCACGAGACCAAGGGGGTGCAGTCCCAAGGAGAAGAGCAGCAGGCATCCCAGGCTAAATTATGGAGGCTGTGTTACATGGCAGCAGCTGAGAGAGGGAAAACTTTTACTGGGAAAACTTTCCTCAACCCTGAGCACTTGACAGTTCCTGTGTGCAACACAGCTCGGTATCTTGGAGATCAGGGACAATTCTGCCTTTCAGTACACTGCTTGATGTGACAAAGCCTGAATTTCTCCTGTGAAGTGTAATCTCTTTCTTTAGCAGTAACGCTATTGGAATTATTGGCTGAGGCAGCGCAAATTTCATGTATTTAAGGATAATGACATAAGTCCTTGCTTGATGTACATTATATTCTAAACAACTGGCTAAGGCACAATGGTAAAATAAGAGGAGAGCAGGGAAGCAGTCATATGACAGCTCTTCTTGTACATTCATTTTCTTTGGAGTCTTTGTAGTGTATTTTATTTCATTTGAGAAAAATGAGATGTATATTCTTGCACAGCTTTAGTCCATGTGCCAAATTCCCTAGAGGGTTTTTCCCATTTTAGTTGAGCTAACTCCTAAAAGAAATAGGATGTAGCAGAACTAAAACATCACCAGTCATTACTGAGTTTCAGACTTTAATGTTTTGTTGTGGTCCTTGCAATACCTTTGTTCTTACATGTGTCATTTGCTGTCACATCTGTATTTCTGGCAAAATGATCAATAAATAAAGGAATACAATCTATTTTTTATAGCGTTGTGTACTCATTCATAGTGTGTTTTAATATATTAAGTTGGCACTGCTGGTGGGAATCAAGACGGCATGAGTTATATAAGACAGACTGAAGCAAAATGAAACCAAAGACCAATGGCTGTATGCAGGTGGCACTGCAGAGCTGCCTGCCCTATCTTGGAAGTCTCATCCAGTCTTCTTTGTGGTCCTCATCCAATGTCATCAACTGCAGAAAACATTCTTTACCCTTAGTAAGCAGATCTCCACCTCTGCCACTGTGATCTCCTAGCCCACTTTTTCTCTGCATCACTTGTTTTGAATTATATTCCATTGTAAATTCTTTTTTGTATCAGGCATCGAACTCTGGATCTTGAGCTTGCCAGCCAGGCACTGTGCCACTGAGCTACAACCCAGGCCCTATTCCATTCTCAATATTAAGTACTCATGTGTGTGTATGTTCGTGTGAAACTATATTGTGACTTCTATAAAATTAAGACATTTTTAATTTTTAAATGAGTCTACTTGTTTTCCAACATGCTCAGAAAAAAGGGAATACAAATATATTTATTGTGTAATATTCCTTCCTAACTTGTTCATGAATCAAAAATGGACTTGATGCCCTCTGGTAGGTAACTCAGTTATGAAATGATCAATGCACACATAATCTCTACCTTGATTAGAAGTCATTACTTTTATTTTTCCTTCTTCCTTGAAAAGGGCAATAGAGTGGGGGAATGTGAGAAGAAGCTAGAATAGTTAAAAGAAACACCAGGAGTTTGTTGGAAAGACCACACATTACCCTTTTTCTTACTTTCACAGTGAGGTTATAGAAAGTCACAAATATCAGTTCAGGAACAAGCCCCTTGCCTATATTGAAATTTTCTGGGTGACCTTGGAATTTTTATTTAATTTTGCCAAGGTTCAATTTCCAATAACAATAGAGTCGACTACATCAAATAAGATGATGACAAAATAAATAATTAGGGTTGATGATTATTATTTATTATTAGCTATTGTTATGTTTACGTGCATGACTCTAAGGGTGCCATATCCAGGGCTGCCCAGAGCAGGGCAGAGATGGCTTAGGCTGGAGACTTGCTCAGAAGCTTCCTTTCCCAAATGCTAGAGTCAGCTTCCAGCACCTGAGCAACTATGCTGGTTCTGCCATGGCTGGACTTCCAAAGCTCATCTCCTACTGGCAGCTTTCTCTCTGCCTGTACTGCAAGCTTTGCTGGAGAGGCAAATATCTGACCCTAAAGAACGTCTGTGTGCTTCCTGGTTTTCAGTATATTTAGATCAGAAGGAAAAAATGTGTTCCTTATTTTGTGAGTGAAGCTTTTCTGGCTTGAACTTTGTTTTTTCAAATACTAACACAATGAATTTTCTTCCTGCCCTACCCTCTCTTGTTAATAGGGTGCTGAGAAAATTTTGTCAATGAATGAATCAGGAGAATTGCAAGACCTCTTAACCAAAATTGAGGTAACTGTGCTTTTTAGCAATCAAAACATTAAACACATTCTTACTGTAATTGGGTCTTCCTAACTGAATTTCTTTCTCATGTTTGTACAAATATATAACAGGGGACATGTGACAGTTTTCATTGGAATCACCTGCCATTAGGTTTGCTTTAGCCAGACTGATTTTAATGTTAGTTTCTAATGACTTCATACTATTAGTTGAAAATTCTGGACATCTTTATTAGAGCCTAATTCTGTGAAATAGAGATGTTGGTGATAGGCTCTAATTCAGGCAATTGTCTAAAAGTATACTTAAATTTTTTCTTCATTGAAACTGCGTAATTTTTTCCATGAACCAGCTCATAATATCTGGACATAAAAGAAACAATCATGTGTCCAAAAGGCACATTTAAGTTTTTGTTCCTATACTTACAATTACAGCATCAGAGAAATACTTATTCAGTTATACAATGCATCAAATTAATATGATATCAGAAAAGGAAGTTTTCATTATTCTGATTATTCTTACCATTTCTTCCTATACATAGCAAGACCATATGCTTTACCTTCTGGACTGGGATACTTTGAGAATGAAAACTTCATTAAAAATTATTCTGGTTCAACAAACATGAAACAGTTTCCCTAGGTAACTGGGCTGGTCATGTGATTGCTCAGTATCTATATGCCATGTCTGACTTATCAACTTTTCTTGACATAACCTTCTTTATTAATCTTATTTCTGATTCTCTGCCATGCCTTGTACTTGTACTTCAAATGAATGTTTTGTGTGTGTGTGTGTGTGTGTGTGTGTGTGTGTGTGTGCTTTCTTGATACCATTCTTTTATATGAGCTGTTTGGAAAGAGTTAATTTCTAATTCATCATTTGCCTCCATCTCAAATGCCCATCTGCAGCATTACTTCTCAAAGAATAATTTCTGATCTCTGCATGCCTATAATCCTTTTTGTTGGATGCTTATCAAAGTCTTCCCCCCACTTTTTTTTTGGTACTGGGGCTTGAACTCCATTCCTTGTGCTTACAAGGCAGGCAGCAGAACCACTGAGCTAAATCCTCAGCCCCACTCTTCCTATTTTTTAACCTGTCTTTCAGCATTTGATTCATATCCTATATACTCCTTGCTTGTGAGAATTACATTTTACTTATATTGTGATATTTCCTGGGAGGAAAATGCAATGTATTCATTCAACAAATACTTTTGAATATCTACTATTTACAACTACTCTACTGGGAAAGACAATGATGTCCTCTCAAAGAATAGCTTGAATATAGCGATAATTCAGATAAATTTTGTATTAGCTTATGTTTCAATACTAACAGTAGCATCACATTTAGATCCTATAGTCCAATCAAGATAATAGAAAAGTGTTTATGAAGAGGAATGTCCCTAGGATATAGGGATAGAATGGATCATCACTTGTTTTTTCTGATTTCAGAAGCTAGTAGAGCCCTTTAGAGTCAATCTGTATGTGTAGAAGTGGCTTAAATTTCCTTGGTCTTCACAACTTATAATGTCAAAGTATTTAGACTTAAAAATAAGAGGATTTTAGCTTTCACCTCAACTCCATAGGTCACTATATGAATTTGGGTACATTCACCTCTGAGATCTTGGTTTCTTCACCTATCAACTGAAATTTGTTTGGTACCAGGGATTGAACTCAAGACCTTGTGTTCAGAGGCAGGTGTGGTGTCACTGAGCTAAATCCCTGGCCCAAAGTTTGTATTTTTTAGTTTAAAATTTTTCTCAGCTAAAGCATCCAGATGAATTCATTTCTTTCCTTTTGTTCCCACATGTTGCTCCAGCTATATGAAACCATTAATTGAGGTTAGTGTGTATCTCTTTATTTAAACCACTTAACTTGGTAAATGTGTGTTATTATTTTCTGCCCAGATTATAAATTTATGGAGATTGTGTTACGTAACATAGCTAATTTTGTTTCAAAAATATTTTCATTAGGCAGTATTTTAAAGAACCATCTACATTGCTACGTGAACATTTAATTGGTTTATTCAGACTGCTGCATACTTCTCCACAGCAGCACTGTCTAACAGACCTTTCTTTAATGATGGAAATGTTGTCTGTTTGCACTGATTGCCAACAACTATTGAGTGCTTAGACTATAACTAGAATCACTAAGGTACTGAATTTGTAATTTTATTTAGTTTTACTTGGTTGAAATTTAATTCAAATAGCCAAATGTGGGTGGTAGTGGATCTTACTTTAGACAGTGTGGTTCTATAATGCTGATCCACCTGTCCACTGTTTTTTATTTTCTAACCTATTTACTTTTCCACTGATAGACACTCAGGTGTCCTTCAACTCTGTCCTTCAACCAAACAGATCTGTAAGGAACAATTATTAACATATTCCTTATATATTTCCCTGACAGGAGAAATAACTGGATCTTAGCTTATGCATATACTTAATTTTGTGCCAGATGATTTTTTTTTCAATGGTTGCATCAATCAACAAGCCCTTCTCTGTATAAAGAGGTTTCTTACATTCCCAATTCCTAGAAGTAACTTACAGTGTTTTATTTGCTAATTTTTCACAGAGTAATAAGTATCGAGCTATATTCCTTTAATCTTTTAAGTTACATTATTCTATGGAATTTGGGCATCTCATTGTACACTTATTAGATTTTTACGTTTATTTTTCTGTACATTATGCATTCTTATTCCTTGACCATTAAAATTTTGGAATTGTTTCTTTTTTTTCTTTTTGGTTGATTTTAGAAAGTTTATTCTAGTCTGTAGATATTAATTTCTGGTTGATTTTAGTGAGTGTCAATATTTCCTACCTCTTTGTTGGCTTATTTCAAGGTACCCTTCCTCCAACAGAAATGCATTGTTTTTTTCTTATATTTTGTGCTTTTGCACTTTTATTTTGAAGTATCCTTTTATCTTAATGTTGAAACATTGTCTAATATTTTATTAATTTTGTTTCTTATTATGCTGATACATTGTTTTATTTCTATACATTAATGACACCTTTTAGGCTCTTGTAGTATGGTAAGTAAGCTTCAATAGTTTCCTTTATACAGATTAATATTAATATACAGATATTCTGAACTTTTTATCTAAGTCCATAATTCTATAACTCTGCAATTAAAACCATAATGCTAGATTAACATAATCACCCTCCCTCCCTCAGCTTAAAATATTTTGGAAAAGCTTTCCTCTTTATCAACTTTTCATAGACAATGTAAATAAAGCACAAATATTTAAGACTATTCCTAGTCTTCAAAGGAATGGTATACTGGTTTTTACTGTTTTAGAAACTGTGAGATGCTATAATTCTGTTGGGTTGCTTTGTCCACATAGTAAAGCTGGTAGAAAATGTTCTCCCATCCAAGAAAGTCAGAATTCTGCCAGAGAGTGGAGTGGGTTGAATGGAAACTAAAACGAAAGATTGTACCCAGAGATGCATTAGGAAGGCCAAGCGAAAGGGATAAGAGATATAAGATTCAAATCTAAACAATCCTATGCTTCTAATCGGCTTTGACAATAGAGTAGGAGTTAAATACTTGAAAGACAGGAAACTTCTGAGCCCTTAATATGTAGCAAGTAATACTCTTGTTGTCGTGTATGTATTAAATGATAGCAACCTTATAGTAACTCTGCTAATTTGATTCTATTATTTTCTCCATTTTACCAACAAGGAAATTGAAACGATTAAATCACCCACTTGAGACATTGCAGAAAGTGTTTAATTTCTGATTCTAAACAGCTGCCAAAGCCCATACTATTAAGCATGAGCAAAGCTGTCATTACTATCAAATTAAATGACGTATAGGTATCTGGAAAATTGGACTGTGTCAGGGCAATATGGGATGTCTTTGTGAAAAACTTACTAGAAAGTAAAAAATATGGTAGGTCCAGAGAGTAGAGTAGGTTTTAATCCTGGACTCTGATAGTACAGGGGCATCATGGAAGATGGGCCAGTGGTAATAGCTTTAGAGAAAAATTAAATCTTGCGAACTCCTAGTTTGTCTGACTTAGACACTGCATTGGCGGTCGGTAACAACCTCTGGTTCAGGTCCCACTTTTCAGTCATTATTTCAGCTGATGGTGAAGAAAGAGGCTTAGCAGTTGTATCGGGGCCATCAGAAGAGGAGAGAGCAAATACTTTTAAATTGTCTGGGTCAAGGTTCCCAGCAGATGTCCTGCTGATAGATAATTTGCTCTGAAAGGGAAGCTGAAAGGATGTGACTTGTTGATGGAAATTGTGAGCAGCCTCAGATATGAGCAACTAGTCAAAGGCAGCCGGAGCAAGTGAAATATATGATAATTAGCAAGGAGATTCGGCGTCCACAGCTGCCTGTGACAAGCGACACTCTGCTCCCGAGAGAACAGTCGGCGGGTGATCCTCCCAAAAGATTCTTATCTATTTTGTTCAGTCTTTTACCAGTTTGTGCCCTGTGTTCAGAACAAGGATTGGCATATAATGGACATCCAAATATTTGTTTGGTGAACAGATGAATGTATCCTCTGTCATCCAAGGATTTTAGAGGAAGCAAAGCAGTTAAGAGATAAAAGGGAAAGAAAATGATTTCGTGTAAGAACGTGTCTGAGTGAAAAACAGTGAATTTAGTTAGTAAATTTTTTTACTTCTGTATTTCTGTTTATTTATATTAATAAACAGTCTAGAGATTAGAGGCAAAGACATATCTAAGGGTTCCCAACAAATGCCAGGAAGATGGATAGAGATCTTGGTGTCCATGCAGAGAGCCAGGGAGAGCCAAGATGTTCTAACATCCTACTAGTTCTGGCAGATAAATATATTAAAGCTCTTATATGTCAAAGAAATGCTGAGTAAGCTTTTGCCTTGCTTTCCTTTTTTCTTTCTTTCTTTTTTTTCTGCAAATAGGAACAAACTTTTGTTGTCATTTCTACTGGGATTGCTACCATCATGACCATTTTCTGACTTTTTCTTTCTTGTAAACTTTGTAACAATTTCCTTAGTCTGATATTCCCCAGAGGGCTGATGACTGCCTACTTCTTGTTCATGAGGAACAGAGGGAGGATTCTCAGCTTCACATCGAAGACACTGAAAATGGCACAGGTTGTGAGTATAGCGGGTTGGGGCTGTTAAAGGCCCTCCTGAGGTTTTTCTGGAGAAGTTAAATCCTGAGAGTCAGGAGCGGGTAACAGACATAGCATATTCAGAGGCTGTTGCTGTAGAGTGTTCCCTCTCACTTGGGGACACCAGGTGATACCATCTGATTTTCTCTGGAAATTAAACACCTGTCCAAGTGGGTTTACGTCATCCATCCCATCTGGTTCATGAATTGGGCTCTTATATTCAGGCATTTAGTATTATAAACTACAAATTTCCTCTGTGTTTTCACTTTATGCGGTGGCTTCTTTCCCCAATAGTAAATTGAGAAGTTCTGGAAACAGTGACAATCAGGAAAGTTTTTGTTTATTTTCTTAGAAGCTTGGTCAAGTAGGGAGGTGAATAAATGCCTAACAAGCACTGGATGAATTAAATTGTTAAATGTAGTTTAAAATACATAGATATGAGTGGCTATTGCACACTCAGTACATATTTGTGTAATGAATTAATCAGTAAAACAATATCACTGTGAGTATTCTTTGAAGCCCTTCAGCAAGACTTTATGAACAAAAAGAGCTATAAAAAGAGAATGGTTTCTTGCTCCTTCTTTCTTGAATCCCATTGTAATTGAGGTGCCTCAAGCTAAACAATTATTCAGCAGAGGAACAGTCTATAGATTCAGTACTCTAATTGTGTGTTATTTTCAACCAGGTCTTCATGGTCCCTCATTTTGCTGGCAAACAGGACACTGAAGCACTATCTTAGATCCCTTACTTGCTTGTTTCTGTAGTCAGTCTCTTCATTAAAAAATTTTTTTTACTAATAACTATTGTTAACCTTAGCTATTCCTCTTTTTTTATTTTTTTATTTTTTATTTATTTTTTCAGCCTGAAACATTATCAGAAATTTTTGGAAATTTCCTAGCTATTTTTTTGTGTTTTTCCTTAAGGACAAACTGTCTACTGAAGTTTTAGACTTGGTAGAACAAAAAGCCAGCTTTTCCACTTTTTGGGTAACACTTTAAGTTGGAATCAGGGTTTTGGAATGAGGAAAGTGCTCTTTGAGGCAGGTAACTAGGAAAGACTGAACTATATCTACGTTTATTAGAAGAGTCAATAGTTTAGATTTTCCTCGATGATGTAACAGAAATATTATTCCTGGAGGTTGATGGACCAAGGAAGAGTAGTGGGTGGCCTCAAGACCATTCACCATCCTCACTTCTATGTATTAGTAAAGCATCTATCATTTTAATTTTCTTACTTTTATTATCATTATTATTATTTTTTTTGTTTGTTTGTTTTTTGAGACAGGGTCTCACTATGTAGTTGAGACTGAACTGGAACTCACTATGAAGCCCAGGTTGGTCTCGAACTCACAGAGATCCTCCTGCCTCAGCCTCCTGAGTGCTGGGATTATAGGGTGCACCACCACACCCGGCTTTAATTTTCTTACTTTTGAGGATCCCATGTGTAAATCATTTAGGACAAAATGGGTGATGAGAACATAGCTCAGCAGTAATATTTTTGGCTGGAATGAATGAGGACCTGGATTTTAATCTCAGCATGCACAACAAACAAACAAAAGCAACAACAGAAACTAACGTTACAGAGGAAAGTCCATAGATTTTGCTCAAGAAGAGAGCTCTTGAATCTCCAATTTTCTAACAGTGACCTGTCTTTTTTTTTTCCTTAGTGGAATAGTTGATTTTTCCATTTATACAATGATAACTCTATCATATCAGGTCGGTAAGAGAGGGGAGCACAGGTTGTACATTCTATGTAAGACAGGCAGTGTTCTATTCAATGTGAAATAATTAACTTATTTAATCCTTTAAATAATTCTTTGAATAAAAGGCACATCTCATGTTAGAATAGCATGGATTATGACGACTTGATTCTAGAATGGTCTTGAACTAGTTGTAATTACCCTTAAACATGAAAATATACTTTCAAAAATATTAACATAGTCATTTTACTTTAGAAAAGATTATTTATTGTGACTTGTGGTAAAATTATGAGGAAACAGTTGATTCTTGGTATTATTAGATTTAACGTGGCATTTTTCATTTAAAAGTAGACTTTATGAACTACATTGCAGGTCCTTGATGTAAAATAATTTTAAAATTTGTCAGTTTTTATTTTGGGAACTGTTTACTAACAGCCTGGTGTTTAGGGTGAGTGACATAGTAGACAGTGGACCTAGGAAGCTTCTAGCACTCAGATTTTATTTTATAGTGGTTGTTTTTCGCTTGTCCTCATCAATGTATTTTATGCTAGTCCAAAATTTGGTCATGTACAAGTGTCCTGGGACAGAGAAGGAGTTGATTTTCATTCAGTGTGCACTAGCACAGCTTAGCACTGGCACAGTTATTAAAATATTGACACATGATTGTGCTGGCTTTTAAGATATTGGATAGTTCGTGTTGACTGAAAAATAGCTGCTGCTCAAACATCTTCCTTTGGCCAGACAGCCCTTGCCCTGTAGAGCTACTGGAGACGATGCAGGATGCCTGCTTATGTATAAATCTCATGTAAATTATGAATAACTTTTTTGTTTAAGTGTGTCTGGTGCAATATTTGTTCTATACTCCTACAAAAAATTCTTTGTGGTATATCTGAAACTCAAATTCAACTGAGCGTCTTGTATTTTTATGTGCAGTGTTTGACAATCCCGTCCAGTAGGCGCTTTGACCTGTTCACAATCCAGTTCTGAGGAATGAAGTAGTGGACTCAGGGACCCTATGGTTCCTTGCTCCAGACTCTAGACTGGCTCAACACCTATTCCCTTTAGTTGGTGCACTTATTTTACAAATCATTAAATAACTTTAGTGTAACCTGCTGTTATGAGTTCAATAATACCATGGATCTACCTGTATTCAGTTTCTCTTTAAAACCTGGTAAGATATCACTTGATAATTTTCATATATCTTACTTTTTAAAGTGCACTTTTTCATCATTTGGTTTGTTTTTATTCCAGTTTTTTTTCAGAACATTTTAATATTATAAAAGATTTAGTTAAACCAGGGATTTAGCTCAATGGTTCAGCTTCCTGCCTTGAAAGTGCAAGGTCCTGAAAAACAACAAACAAAAGAGATTTAGTTAGGTTCACTGCAACCTTTTCTGGGCATCAGTTTCATATCAGGCAATGGCCTAACCTAACTACAAAATAGCAAAATTTCTACATACATTTGATTCTTCTTTGGGGAAGAACTTTGAATTTCTATACTCTTGACAAAGTTCCTTGTTTGTGTTATTCAGATTGGCAACCACTGCTTTTCATAAAAACATTTCTATGCTGTTAAAAATTACACAGTTCACATAATAGTTAAACTAAGCTGTAATCATAAGTCAATCTTGCTATATGTAGAAAATGTATGTCTGAAAAGTGTTTCGGGAATATATAAATTTTAAGTCAACCATGTTTTTAAGGTTTATTTCCCAAAGTATAACCACAGATTCCTTATTATGAGAGAATTATATTTATTTGCTAGGAAAAATTTCTTTTAGTTATATACAGTAGAGAACTGCTGGGTTAAGTTCAGATAATCACGTTCCTTTTGCATTGGAATTTTTGGAGATTTTAACAGGTGAATTATGAACCTCCGGAGAAGACCTGTATGCATGTATGAGCATGTTAAGCATGTTTCTCTAAGCACTATGCCCTTTTGATTCTGTGTCTCTCTGTGTGTATCTCCATCCCCAATCATGTTCTCATCATTATTCTTTCTACAAAGCTGAGCTTTCAAAGATTGATTCAGTTCCTATTTTGCAAGTCGAAGTTTAGCATCAATTCACTTGTTTTCTCTCTGTGTTCCCTCTGTAATGGCGTCACACCACCTCTGAACTGGTGGAAACACTCGTGGCCTCAGACAAAGGCTACTTGATCAAAAAGGCAAATAAAAATATATGTAAACAATTTTTAAAATATTATATTCAACTCACTGCCTAGTTGTTTTCATTTTGCTATTAGCGATTTTTTATCTTTCCTTGAGGTAGAAAGGCTGGGGGCTGCTGTGGAAAGTTTTACGGGTGTGCGTAAATGTCATGAGATTTCTATGCCTGTTTCCTTATGCATAAAGTGAGGATAATGAACCATGAATTATGTCTTTATTGAAGAAGATGACTGTGTGTGTTGAGGGGGGAGTGGGGGGAAATTCTACATAATAATGCATTCGAAAGTGCTTTGAAAAGAATAAAGCCTTATTCAAATCGGCAATGTAATGATGGATCTTCAGTTAACAGTGGCTCCTCCTCACTTTATCTTATAGTTTTCTGATTTTCCAAATTCGCCATTAGAGGCTCTATTCTGTGCACAAAGACATAAAGCTCTTAAGAGATACAAAAGGGAAAGTTAAAGTATTTTTCTGTAATGCAGTAACCATCTCCTGAATTACTTGGTTGGTAAATATGATGGAATTTTTGAAAGCATATACCATTTAATCTAACATTTACCAGCTTTTACAAACTAAGTCTGCTATAATGGCCTTTGTGGGGCAATGAAGGAGGACTTCACTTCCCCCCACTAAGTCCAATGTATATTAATAGTAGGTGATTTTAAGTGCACAGCCGAGTTACGTTATGCCGAAATTGCCTCACAACTACTCACAGTATGGAAAGAAAGCAAGACTGATGGGATTGTTCATACTAATTCATCTTCTCTCCTCTCTTTTCCGTTACCCTTCACAGAGAGTGCAGCATCCACACGAGTGTCCCTCCTGTGGAGGCTTTGGCTTTCTTCCGTGCTCTGTGTGCCATGGGAGCAAGATGTCAGTGTTTCGAAACTGTTTTACAGACTCTTTCAAAGCTCTGAAGTGTACAGCTTGCAATGAGAACGGTCTCCAGCGTTGTAAGAACTGTGCTGGTTAGTCAGAGATTACATTAAGAAAAAGCCTCATTTTGTTAACCACAGGCTATAGTTTGGTTTATACTTTTTTTAAAAAAAGGAAGTCATGTTTTTGGATTACTCAATAAAGTTTGTTTATTGTAATTGCCTGTCTTGATTTTTTTGTTTGTTTTTGTTGGTTTATTAAATAAATATTTATTTAGTAACTAATGTAGCCCTGAGCTACATTCTAGTTTCTAATTGGAATTAATGGAATACCCAATTCCATTCCGAGATGTCCAAAGTCTGGTTCCTTAAATGTGTTTTCTGTTTTAAGGAAAAGAACAGAACAGAAATGAAAGAAAAGAAAAGATTATCTAACAGTGTTTCTATTAGCTAAGAGGAGCAATGAAAATCTTCCCAAGGTAACATAACGCATTTCTAGGCATACATCAGCTGCAGAGAAAGGTGTTCCGGATAGTGGGGAAAAGATATCATCTTTATACTTAGGGAGTAGATTTTTTTTTTAGCCTTGGAATAGTTTTGGAGCAGATTATTTGAATGATGCCTCATAAATATTACCAGTGGGATTTTTGGGAATGATACAAAAGCTTCAAGAAGTCTTATCTAGATTTGTTATATTTTACTTTATTTTTAAAGGGTGTTGTTGTTATTCATTTCCAGTACAGGGAATTGAATCCAGGGCATTCCCAAGCTACATCCTCAAACTGTTTATTTATTTATTTATTTTAATTTTGATACAGAATCTTATTAAGTCAGTAAATTGCTCAGTCTGGGCTCCATCTTACAGTTGTCCTATCTTAGCTTCTCAGAGTGTTGGGATTATAGGCATGCACTATTGCCCCTGGCTGGAGGATTTTTTTTTTTTTTAATAAATGTTTTGTGTCACTGTCACTTAAAGCTGATTACAGAACTCTTGAGCTGGCTGCAAAAATTGTGTACCATAAACATATGTTGAATAACATTAGTAAAGTGAACAAAAATACATTTTTCTAGAATTATTGGTGTATGACTACCTGTGTACTTGTGCGTGGATTGTTTTATGATTTTAAAAAATAACCTCATAATATCTGTGATGAAGTTATCAAACTCTTTTGTGCTTTGGTTCTCTAAAAGGCAACATGTGTTTATGGACTATTTACTAATGAGTCAGAAACTGTGGAAAAGAATATTCCATTTGCATGAAACCTACATTTTCTAGGGGAAGAAAATATATAAGAAATAAAGCTTAGTCTTATAAATGATACAAAACAGAATAGTGTGCTATGGGAATATGAGCTAGAAGGAAACATGGAGTTAAAGGAAATATGGAGTTACAGGAAATTTTCCAAAAATGAGGTATCAAAAACATGGGATTCCTAAAATATAGACATTAGTTCAATAGTCATTATAATGATAATTTATATTTCATTAGAATTAAAATAGCCTCATCAAAAGGCATGTAAAAAATAAAAATAGAAGCCAAAGCTGAGTGAAAATATTCATAATACAATATCTGCCAAAAACTAAAAATCTAATGTATATAAAGAACCATGAAAATTAGTAATTTAAAGACAATCTAATAAACAGGCAGCACATTCCCTTCATAACATAAGGCATATGAACAGCCTAACACTCACAAAAAATATAAAACATCATTAGTTATCACTCATGTGCAAGTTAAAATTGCAGCACCATAGTAGTTCACATTACAGTAGTTAGAAGAACTATAATGAAAACATCTGAAAATACCAAGTGTCAGCATGGTGGGAACAACTGGAATTCTGATACGCTGATGTAAATGTTAAATGGTACTATTACTCAGGAAAACCATCTGCCACTTTCTAATAAAGGCAACTGTGCACCAATTCAGTGCTTAGCAATTATAGCCTTAGTCCTTAGTTATTTATTCAGTAGTGATGGAAGTGTATGTCCACATTTATAAGAGTTTCATGGAAGGTACATCGAGAAGAGCCAGATAGTGGAATTACTTCAAACTTTCCATGACAGGGGAATGGTTGAGAAATTTGTGGTATGTTAACCCAGCAGCAAAGCAGGAATACAGAGAAACAAGCTGTTGATTCTCACAATAACACAGATAAATCTCAAAAGCATTGCCTAGGATAAACTAGCCAGACAGGAAGGGTATGTACTATATGATCTACAGAGTGATTCCACACACAATTATGTTAATGCATAGGTTTGTGTTAATTTTATAATTATTTTATGGCTCTGCCTTGTGCATGATTTTTTAAAAGTACACTTCTATATATGCTAATTAATCCTAAAACTCAACAATGTGATGTAAATAGAGCAGGTATGATCATCTCCCACCTACGTGATGTAAAACTGAAACACATGTGAATTGTCTAAACCAAGCTCTCTTGGAAAATTGACATAAATTTATGTTTAAGCCTGTTATAAGCTTATTCTGAAGCTATTGTTTTCACTAACTCCTGCAAATCTACCAGATGTCTATGGGGATTTTTTGTTTCTTTTTTCCCATTACTCTTGCATGATGCTTTACTTTAGAGGCTTGTAATAATCAGCAGAAAACACAGCAATTTAATTCCATGTTAATGCCTGCAAAAAGAGCATAGAAGATAGAAAAAGAAATAAATTCCTTGTGAATACAGTTGAGAGTCGGAGTTTTTCTCTTCAGCGCCCATAGTACAAGATATGATTTGAAAATTAGATTCCCTCATAGTATTCCAATTCCTCATTTGATTGTACCTCAGACAAGGAATACATGGAGATTCTAAGTGAATTTACAAAAACAGAGCTAGGACTTGAACAGTCCAAAAGTTCATTGGTAGGCCCTACTGTTTCATAGAATCTCACATCCCTGTTGGAAGACTGATGAGAAATTCTCCCTTCTTCACAAGACTGAAGAAAATCAAAGCTCAACTAGTCCTATCTTATACCATGATCTTAGCTCTGATCATACTTACCTTTTCCATTTTCCCCCATCCCTGTATGACTGTGAGAACCAAGTTTTCAGGTCAAGGTGGGCTCCATGCCCCTTACCCAAAACAGAGTGAATGCAAAAGTTCCTTTTTATGAAATTCCATTCTATGTGACAGTCTCTCTGTGTTTCTGTTCCTCTTTTAAGGGCAAGTTATCCTAGGGCATCTCCACCCTGTTTCTGTTCACTTTTTAAGATCCCAAGATGAATTCTTTTCTGTTTGGTTTAATTAATATAGAAATTAGTCATAGCTGACATAGGTAGCCACCTGCTGATATTCTGGTTTGCAAAATCAGATGATCTAATAAAAGGAGGAATTGATTCTTCGAAAGTAGGCATTAGGTAATGTTCCAATAAGCGCCCTCCCAGTGCCCCTTGAATATCCAATGATATGTAAAAGCCCTCCCAGTATCCCTTAATTATCCAATGGTAAGTGAGAGCTAAAAATAGAAACTATATAAGCAAAAAGTTTCCTTAATCCTATATAAACCCGCTTCAAAAATGGATCTGGGCTCTCGGTCTGAAGCCGCTGTGCCTGTGACACCCTAGAGTCCAGGCTCGAGCTTGCAATAAACTCCTCTTGCAATTGCATCAGACCTGAATCCTTGGTGGTCTTTGGGGACTTCGCGACTTGGGCACAACAATGACAATCACTCTATAGATCACATAGTACACACCCTTCCTTTCTGGCTAGTTTCTCCTTCTTCTCCCTCTACCCCTGGTACTGGGGATGGAATTCAGGACCTTGTGCTTGCCAGGCAGGCCTGGTGCCACTGAGCCACAAACCCAGTCCCTAGCTAGTTTATTCTATGCCGTGTTTTTGAAATTCACCTATGTTATTGTGAGAATCAACAGCTTGTTTCTCTGTATTCCTGCTTTGCTGCTGGGTTAACATACCACAAATTTCTCATCCATTCTCCTGTCATGGAAAGTTTGAAATAATTCCACTATCTGGCTCTTCTCGATGTACCTTCCATGAAACTCTTATAAATGTGGACATACACTTCCATCACTCCTGAATAAATAACTAAGGCTATAATTGCTAAGCACTGAACTGGTGCACAGTTGCCTTTATTAGAAAGTGGCAGATGGTTTTCCTGAGTGATAGTACCATTTAACATTTACATCAGCGTATCAGAATTCCAGTTGTTCCCACCATGCTGACACTTGGTATTTTCAGATGTTTCCGTTATAGTTCTTCTAACTACTGTATTTTGAGCTACTATTATGGTGCAATTTTAACTTGCATTTGCTTGATGACTAACGATGTTTTATATTTTTTGTGAGTATTTGGCTGTTCATAGCCTTCTTTTATGAAGTTACCATTGCCTGTTTCTCTATTAGACAGACAATGGTTCTTTTGAACTGAAAATTGAGAGTTCCACTGGTATTTTTAGCTTTTGCTGCCATTAGACCAACAGAAAAAAGATTACTGTCTGGCTGACGATTGATTCTATTTCTCAACTGAAAATAATGCTGCCGGAAGGAGGTGATGTAGAACCCAAGCAGCTCTGGAGTCACATTCAGTGGTAGAGGCTAAATGGAAGAGCACAGTACTGTGACAAGAACGTGACAACCAAGGGATAGGAGGTCCTGTACAACAAGCTTGGGATCACTGTACTAGGAGAAGACTCCGTTCACTGAGGAGTTGACCAAGGGAAGACAATATGGAATAATTTGAGGAAATTTATAAATATAAATCAAATGTCCTGAGCAGTTGAAATGCAGAGAGTAGTTATCCACTTGTTACAGTTCCCCTTATTTTCTCTAGATGCATCTCTCTTTTTGTGAAACAATATTCCTACCTATTCTTTCCTCTACTGTTTACAGTAAAAACACAGCAAAGTCCCATCCATCATTGATAGTTATTTCTCTCCCTCTCCCTCTCTCTCCAGCTGTATTGCTTATCTAGTTCAGCCATAATTCTTTTGGTTTTAGAGCAGTAATCTTAGTAAAATCAAAGATTTACTGCTTTGCTTTGGAAGGAGATATTTTCAGAACAGTGTGGAGCTGATGAGAAAAATAATAACGTTAGTCTGGTGTACTGCTGTCCTTTGGAGAATGATGGTCAGAGACGGGAGTTTGAACTAAACAGAAGTGTAAGTTT